AAGACTTAAAAAAAAGCAGTGGAACAAAAGTGGATAAGCAGCAAGCTTTGTTAGTGTCTTGTGGAAATATCTGAATCTTAAGAAAACGGAAGAAAAATGTCGACGACTCCGCAAAGTATCAAGCCGTTTGATGGTACAAATTATGAGAACTGGGAGTTTAGAATGAAGCTCTTGTTAGAACACCATGAAGTCTTAGAAATGTTGACCACAGTGGCCCCTGGAGTGCGTTCAAAGACGGCAATGCTAATGCCAAAACCTACTATTCCCCTTCTACCGGCAATGCCAAATCTGGTGTGAATTTGCTGGAACGCCAAATACCGTTTCTCAATATGCAATCCAAACCACGTGACATTCAATATGGCGTGGCGACCATTCATGGACCAAAAAAACACAAAAAATATCTAGTTTCTGTCCGACTTAATAGTTAACGTACTTAGTTAACAAATATTTTATTGAATAATTAAAATCGAAGCTGCAAACAAACAAAATAATTGAAATATGCATGAAAACCCATATTCAAAACTAACTTGCCTGGCCGCCACGCCATATTGAATTTGGTCTCATCCAATCAAAATTCGTATAACCATTTCTAGACTCAGTTGAAAGAGCCTCCAAAAGTTACTTTACCGCGGCCGATTTGGAACGTGTAAAGGCAACCGTTTTTGGCACGCTGGAGCCGAACTTGAACGCAATATTCCAATTTTGGCTCGGCTTTAGCCGTTTTTGAACGCAGCCCTGTAGACCCGACACAGTTGGCTGCGTTTAAGAAGAAGGATCTCAAAGCCCGAAACCTTATAGTTAACTGTCTTTCTGACAATGTATTGATTATGATCAAAGGAAAAACCACAGCAAAAGAAATCATCGATGAATTAAAAGGTACCTATGCTAAAAGTGGTATAGCTAATCAAGTGATGCTACAAAGAAAGTTAAGAAACATGAAATTCGCAAGAGGTTCTTCGTTAAATGACTTTTTGGTGGACTTTGAGAAAACCATATCAGAATTAAAGGGTTGTGGTGGACAAGTTTCAGACAGTGAGGTGATAACACAGCTTTTGTCAGCAATGCCAGATGAGTACCAATCAGTGACGACTGCCATAGACATTTTATATTGTCACGATAACACTAAAGTGACATTTGACTTTATAAAGAGCAAGTTATTGGCAGAAGAAGTACGGCAAGGTAGAGTACAGGAAGAAAATAACGGGCAAGCGAGTGGGCAAGCCTTCGCTGTACAGAGAAACTGGAGGAGAGGAAACAGAAGTGGAAATTTTGGTCAAAGTTCGGGTCAAGGAAATGCAAAGGAATTTAAATTTAAATGCTATGGATGTGGACAGAAAGGACATAAAAGAGTTGATTACCCTAGGAATAAGAAAAGGGACAAAAAGTGTTCAGGAAACTGTCATCTAGCGGAAGATGATGATGATGATGATAAAATTGCATTTTTGACAAGTGAACAGGAGAAACCAGAAGCTTTTGTGACCAGTAATGATCCTGATATAATTACATTTGTAGTGGACAGTGGGGCAACTAACCATTTAATTAAAGACTCAATGGGACAGCTTTTGGAAGAAATTGTACCCATAAATCATCAAATTAGTGTTGCCAAAGTTGGTGAAGCCATTGTTGCTACAAAAAGAGGAAAATTGAGACTAGACCCTTTAAAAGGTAAGCAGATTATAATGGAAAATGTTCTGATGTGTAGCAATCTGTCACATAATCTACTTTCTGTTAAAAAACTGGAAGAAAAAGGCCTCACAGTTCTATTTGAAAACGGACAAGTAAATATACAGAAAAATAAGCATACAGTATTACAAGGAACAGCTAAAGGAAACCTTTACCTTGTTGAATTCAAAAGGAACAGTAGTGTAGCTACTCTGACTACTAGTGAGATGAATTTATGGCACAGACGTATGGGACATTCTTCGAAGTTTCCTAGTGTTGAGTTATGTGAGACATGCCTGCAAGGTAAACAAACAAAATTTCCCCATAAGTCGATTAATGAAGACAAAAAGGCCAAGAGACTCTTGCAAGTCATATCGACAGATGTATGTGGACCAATAACAACAGAAAGCCATTCCGGTAAGAAATATTTTGTATCATTTATCGACCACTTTTCACATTTTGCTGTCTGTTTCGCTATTAAAGCAAAATCAGAAGTTTTTGATAAGTTTAAGATCTATATGGCAATGATAAATGCAAAATTTGATTTGAAAATAGAAAGAATTAGGTGTGATGGTGGTGGGGAGTACATTTTAAAAGAATTTAAGCAGTACTGTGCAAATAAAGGCATAGAAATGCAATATACTGTGAAATACACACCGGAACAGAATGGCGTAGCGGAACGCTTTAACCGAACTATACTAGAAAAAGTTAGATGTCTTATTTTTGACTCAGACTTGGTAAAAGAATTTTGGGAAGAGGCACTTAACACAGCAGTCTACCTTTACAACCGGACAGAGACCTCATGCCTCCCAAAAGGTCAGACTCCAGCTGACATCTGGTACGAAACAAAACCAGACTTGAGCAAAATAAGAATTTTCGGATGTGACGCATATATGCATATACCAAAGGAAGAAAGACAAGGCAAACTAGATAGCCGATCGCAGAAAATGGTGATGGTGGGTTACGCTAACAATGGGTATCGCTTATGGGACAATGAAAGAAACAAAGTTATCATAGCGCGGAATGTTGTATTTGAAGAAAAGGAAAAGTCAAAGATCTTAGAAAAACAAACAGCAAGAGCAGAATATCATAAAGAAAGAGTTCAGCAAGTGATAAATGGAAATATTGATATATTTGAGACACCTCAAGAGACACCCAATGCCAACCAGACCCCCAATGCCAACCAAATACCCAGAGCGAATGAGATAAATACCCAGATATGAAGACACGCCGAGATGTGTCCAACCAAATAATATGGAGAGACCACACAGAGAGAGACAAATTACAAGACTATGAATTAGACATTGATGAAGATTTTGAGCTTATGGCAGCTTTATCAGCTACGAGTTTACCACAAAAATACTCAGAAGCCATAAAGATAGATAATGGGTGGAAAGCTGCAATCAAAGAAGAACTTGATGCTCATATGAAAAATCAGACGTGGGACTATGTACTTAGAGAAAAAGACATGGAAGTGATAGACTCAAAATGGGTCTTCACTGAAAAAGAAAGAGATGGAATGATAATCAAGAAAGCAAGACTTGTTGCAAGAGGTTTCCTGCAGACCGACATTCACGAAGAAATATACTCACCTGTTGCTAGGATGCTTACAATACGCTTACTTCTATCTCTAAGTGTACAAGAAAATATGGACATACATCAACTCGATGTTAGATGTGCATTTCTGAATGGTGTTTTGAGTGAAACCGTTTACATGGAGATTCCAAATGGCTTGGATGTTGCACTGGACTATGTATGCAAACTCAGAAAAGCTCTGTACGGACTTCGCCAAGCTCCCAAGTGTTGGTATGATAAATTAAATCAGCATTTAATTGAAATAGGTTTTATCAGATCAAAAGCTGATCCTTGTTTGTATTTTGATAAAAATTTATTCCTATTGGTACACGTTGATGACCTTATTTTGGTTTCTAATTCAGTTTTTAAATTAAATAAAATTAAACACAAATTAATGGATAGGTATTTTTGAAAAGAGAGATATGACAAACAAGAATCACATGAAGTTTTTGGGTTTGAATATTTCTAAATTTGAAAATTGCATTTTGGTTAATCAAAAAGATTTAATTAGAAAAGTTATTCAAAATTTTAACATGCAAGATTCAAAACCTAGAAATATACCAATACAACCAAATTTGAATTTACAACTTTCTAATGAAAAGATGAACAATGTTCCCTACAAGCAACTTATTGGTTCTTTGATGTACCGTCATTTGGGGTGAAGTCGGACGATTTTTGCAGTTTTTTGTTAATAAAATCTACAATTAAAAGAAAAAAAATCCTAAAAAAATAATTAAGAATCTTCCATGTCTCCTTTATCAAATTACTTACTAAAAGTAATGACATTTGTATCCCCCCTCCTTTTTTTTTAGGTAAGTTGTGTGTCCGCCATCACCCCTATGTGTGGGGTAAAGGCGGACGACCATTAATTAAGCATAACAAAGTGTCTTAGTCCCTAGTACGGGGTGCAGTCGGACAAAAAAAAAATAATAATATTTATAGTAAAATATTATAAATTTTAGGTAAAAAAAAATGCAAACATGCAAATTTATTTAGTCACAGCGTTGATTGGTCACAGTAAAATTCGATATAGGAATTAGAAGCTATCTTGGCTTTATGATTTCAGCAATAAGCCCCCAAAAAACCCTTGTTGAAGAAATAGCTAAGTAATCCAGTCAAAATATAAGTAGGTAAATAGGTACTTGCATAACAATTGTATAGAATTGGCTCATAAATATCTGTTGGGATAAAAAATCTCCCTAAGAAATTAAAATTAAATGTTACTCATAACAATTAATAATACCTAATTAACTATCGCAAATGTGTATGTATATAACAATAATTTTTATCATAGTGTCGGTTTTGCGACAATACAATAAAAACCAACAGTGGGACTTTGGACTACCTGTTGTAGATATTGGACTTTGAACTTAGCGCGAAAACGTGCTTAGTTAGTGATCAATGCACCTCGGAGGGCTATTTTTTTTTTTCAACTGAAATTAAACTTTTAGCTTTCATAATTTTTTAATATATTATAATTAAAATAAATATAGTTAATTTGTACAATTATTTATAAATTATATTGTAAGATGGTGTTAAAAATTGAATGAAGTGAAATATTTAAATATTAATTAAAAATTGTTCAAAAAAAAAAAAAAAAAAATCACTTAAGATAAATGAGCTTTCTTTAATACATAATATTATTTTTTTTTTATTGAGAGGCATTTAAGTAATTTTTGATTTTCATTTTACCCGGGATTTTATCAATATTTTTTTTTTTTTTTTTTTTAAACAAAAACTCAAAAAACAAATAAAAATTTTACCTTCTCAAGACATTCTTGTCCAATAGATTTCGGATCAACCCTGACTTCAAAAACAACAGAATTGGCCTGACTGATTAGACACCACATTTTAACTGTTTTCCCTTGGATTCTGAGCTCGACAAATAGCAAAAAGCAGAGTTAAGAAACTCCAAGTCAAAAATGTCTGTTATAAATCGTGAGTTCTTTGATAATAATCGCGAAAAACCGAATTTTTCGTTTCACAAAACACTTCCATACTATTCAACAGATCGTGGGTATTTGATCGAGCGAAGCGACCGCGACCGAGAACGTAGTGTTTTGGTTTCGCGACCAGGGTTGCCCGACGTACGTGGATTTCCTGAGCGGCTAAGGTAGACCTGGTGTCGGCGATAATAACATAATTAGTTTGTAATTTAATATCTGAATAAATTATATTGAAAGCTACAGCAAGTAAAATAGAAAGTTGGTATCGCAGTTACATTCATAGTAGGTAACTCTAATTGAATTATTGAATCTCTCTTTTCTTTTTTGTCAACCTCGAATCATCCACTCCTGGATATAAATCTCTGGTAATTTAATTGTTCGGATTTCCTCTATTTTTCGCCAATCTCATCCAATCCAATCCAATACTTACCTGGTGGCACTCCTTGGTATCTTTTTTCCTTTTGTAATTTTGCCACAAAAAATAGAATTATAGTATAAAATCTCAGCCATAAAACTAATCGAATAGCACTTAGGCCTACTTTCAACTACCGGCCGGATTCTTCTAAATACTTTCATAACTGGGATTTCCAAGAGTGCAGTACCTAATGGAAAAACTATGGATGAATCGAAGGATGACCCAGGAAGATACTGAAGATGCTCCAAAGAATTTTTCAAGATTTTTCAGTGATTTATTAACATGAATTTTCTAAGTTATTTGAAGATTTTTTGGAAAAGACAAGTGTTTAGCCAAAGCTCCAACACACTGCTGATAACTTGGATCCGATACACTGCCAAGCCAAGTATTTTTCGATTTTTCGAAAATTATTCTCAAAAATGAATTTTCCAACTTTTTCTGGTATTAAAGTAGGAAAAAACCTCATAATTTTATTTCTGAGTTTCAGATTGACTCTAAATTTGCCTTGTTTGATGAAAACATTCTGAGTAATAAGTCCTAAAAGTTTGAAATCGATTACTCCGAAGTATTTTTCAAAGGTGATTTAACGTGAATTTTCCAACTTTTTCTGGTATTAAATTGGAAAAAACCACATAGGTAATTTCATTTCTGAGCTTCAGATTGACTTCAAATTTGCCCTGTTTGATGAAAACATTCTAGTTTCATTCATTCATTTCATTTCTTTATTGTCTTTTCTTGAAAATTACATTCATATAGACAGAAAGTTAGGTACAATTTTAACATTTTAGGTAAACAAAAATACACTCCTAAGGAAAAAAAAAAAATAATAAAAATATTGAAGATCCTAAAGTATTCGTACATTAAAACGTACTTTTTAGGACTTAAAAAGCAAAAAATATGCGGAGATTCTTTGTTTACGTTTTGTTAGGAACGCGTTCGAACCTATGAAAACATTCTAGTTAATAAGTCCTGAAAGTTTGAAATCGACTTGATACTTCGAAGTATTTTTCAGGATTTTTTAAAGGTGATTTACCTTGAGTTTTCCAACTTTTTCTGGAATTAAGTTGGAAAAAACGTCATAATTTTATTTCTGAGCTTCAGATTGACTTCAAATTTGCCTTGTTTGATCGAAACATGCTGGTTAATAAATTCTGAAAGTTTGAAATCGATCTGATACTCCGAAGTATTTTTCAGGATTTTTCAAAAGTGATTTAACCTGATTTTTCCAACTTTTTCTGATATTAAATTAGAAAAAACCTCATAATTTTATTTCTAAGCTCCAAATTGACTTCAAATTCCCCTTGTTGGATGAAAACATCCTGGTTTATAAATCCTGAAAGTTTAATATCGATCTGGATATTCCGAAGTATTTTTCAGGATTTTTCAAAGATGAATTACCGTGAATTTTCCAACTTTTTCTGGTATAAGTTGGAAAAAACTTTATAATTTTATTTCTACGCTTCAGATTGACTTCAAATTTGCCTTGTTTAATGAAAACATTATCGCTTATAAGTCCTGAAAGTTTTGAAATTGATCTGATACTCCGAAGTATTTTTCAGGATTTTTCAAAGATTATTCAACGTGATTTTTCCAACTTTTTCTGCTATTAAGTTAAAAAAAACCTCATAGTTTTATTTCTAAGCTTCAAATTGACTTCAAATTTTGCTTGCTTGATGGAAAGATCCTGGTTATTAAATCCTGAAAGTTTAAAATCTGTCTGATATTCCGAAGTAATTTTCAGGATTTTTCAAAGGTGATTTAACGTGATTTTTCCAACTTTTTCTGGTATTAAGTTGGAAAAACTTCATAATTTTATTTATGAGCTTCAGACTGACTTCAAATTTGCCTTGTTTGATCAAAACATGCTCGTTAATAAATTCTGAACGTTTGAAATCGATCTGGTACTCCGAAGTATTTTTCAGAATTTTTCAAAGATTCAACGTGATTTTTCCAACTTTTTCTGCTATTAAGTTAGAAAAAACCTCATAGTTTTATTTCTGAGCTTCAAATTGACTTCAAATTTCGCTTGCTTGATGGAAAGATCCTGGTTATCAAATCCTGAAAGTTTAAAATCTATCTGATATTCCGAAGTATTTTTTTAGGATTTTTTAAAGGTGATTTACCATGAGTTTTCCAACTTTTTCTGGAATTAAATTGGAAAAAACGTCATAATTTTATTTCTGAGCTTCAAATTGACTTCAAATTTGCTTTGCTTGATGAAAATATCCTGGGTAATAAATCTTCAAAGTTTGAAATTGACCTGATAGTCCGAAGTATTTTTCAGGATTTTTCAGAGTTGATTTAGCATGAATTTCTCAACTTTTTCTGGCATTAAGTTGGAAAAAGCCTCATAATTTTATTTCTGAGCTTCAGATTGACTCATCCAAATTGGCCTTGTCTAATGCCCGTATTACATCTGTGTATTTTTCCGTGTATTTATTCATGTAGTTCAGGGTGACAACCAAAAAACTTCAAACGCAACATAAATCAGCATTATAAAAAAACAAAATAATGTTGGCACCCTGAACTACATGAATAAATACACAGAAAAATACACAAATGTAATACGGGTATAATGAAAATATCCTGGCTAATAAATCCTAGAGGTTTGATATTAATCTGATACTCCGAAGTATTTTTCAGGATTTTTCAAAGATTTAAAACGTGATTTTTTCCAACTTTTTCTGGTATTAAGTTGGAAAAAACCTCATAATTTTATTTCTGAGCTTCAAATTACCTTAAAATTTGCCTTGATTGATGAAAACATGCAGATTAATGAATCCTGAAAGTTTGAAATCGATCTGATACTCCGAAGTATTTTTCAGGATCAGTGGCGTAGTGACGATAGTCCGGGCCCGTGTTCGAAAATTTTATCGGGCCCCTAAGCCCTACTCCAGCGAGATTTAAAAAAAAATGAAAAATGACAGAAATATATATTTTTTTGAAATATACAGGGTGAACCTAAAGTATGGAACATATTCAATATAAAATAAATGAAGGCGTTTTGGAAAAAACGCTTGGACACGTCGATTTTATTTTTTTGCTTGAGATTTTTTAATGCCAAAATTATTATACAGGTTATTCCAAGAATAGCTGTACCATTATCAACTTTATTTTCTTTATATCGTACCCTCTGTATGTTATGATATTTCTGGATTCTGCGGAAAATTCAAGACATATTTCATCTACAATCTACAGGGTGAATCTGAAAGTGAGGTTTTTTTTCAACAGGATGTATATCTCACCAAAATAAGTTGTTTGGCAGAAAATTGTTTACATAAAAAATTTAAGATAACGGAGGTACAGGTATTTTGAGGTTAAAGAAGACTTCCACTATAAATCATTTTGTTTACATTTTCTCAAAAAAAAGCCGCAAAAAAGCCATTATTAGTCCAGCATAATGAGTCTTATTCCATAATATGTACTCACAGTTGCATTATTCTATCAGAAAAATTTTCATTTCCAACCTATCAATTTTCGTTTTAAAGTGAAACAGACAAAATTTCCTTCTTGAAGATTGGTGGTGATATGAAGGAATAAAGTTGAGGAATCAACTTCTTTATTTCCGATTTTTTTTGAAATTGCGAAATTCCCTATACCTAAAGTTCCGGTTCCAGAGGTCTTTTATTGATCTATGACAAAAAAGATCACATCAGTTACATTCTACCTTTTAAAATGAATTTTGTAAAATGTCTATTACCTCTAAAAGTGTCATTTCCATCTACTTAACTAAACTTAACGTACGGAAAATTTACAAAGAAAAGTTGTGTTATACCTAGTTATTTACATCCACTTAGGAAAATTAACGTGACACACGGAAAAGTTGGGCAAACTTCAACATAAGGAAATCCGTACGTTAATTTCTGGTTCTGTGCTTATAATTTGATTTGACAGTTGAGTTTATATTTATAAATACGCATGCTTCACATAAGAAAATTAACTTCATTATAAACACACACCTTCTTAGTTTCGTATTTTAATTATAATTTTCCGTACTTTAAGTTAAGTGGATGTAAATGACCCTTGCAAGATTCCCCAGGACGTAGTGGAGAACTTATGGAATCACCCTGTATATCTCAGGTGGTAAAGACTTCATTTCTTACATTCTTATGTAAACCTATCTATACAGGGTGAATCTGAAAGTGAGGGTTTTTTTTTAACCGGGTATATATCTCGCCAAAATAAGTTGTTTGGCAAAAAATTGTTTATATAAAAAATTTAAGATAACGGAGGTACAGGTATTTTAGGGTTTTGTGCATTAAAAATCTAATTTCAATAATAATTTAAGATTTAGTAGAAAAAATGATAAAAGTTATCAGAAAAATTGTTCAAAATTATCCCTATTTGTCTGATGCTTCATTTTTTTCACTATTTTTCTGGGAATCCTTAAAGGGTATCCTACGACGCAGTGGAGAGTTTATGCGCCATTTGGGAATCACCCTGTAGATATACTAGTTTTTATTTTTATATAAATTAGCGTCAAATATGTAAAATGTATTTATTTTTTTACTTAGTAGGACAAAAATAATATTGACATGAAAAACTGGGCCCCTTGAGGTACCGGGCCCGTGTTCCGCGGAACACGCGGAACACCGGTGACTACGCCCCTGTTCAGGATTTTTCAAAGGTGATTTAATATGATTTTTCCAATTGTTTCTGGTATTAAGTTGGAAAAAGCCTCATTATTTTAT